AGCTGGAGAGCAAAGAGAACGACACAACACTTTGTACCATGATAGAGCAAGCTGTTTTGATTCACCTGCTGGGATTGCACTCCACATTGTTTTATGTCTCAACAGGGTGCTTCTTGCTTTATAATTTGCTACCTCCATCAGTATTGTTTGTTTGTTTGTATATCCTTTAAAATTTGCAACAGCCACTATATGTCAGGAATCAGGGCCTGCAGGAGAGCCAGTCTCCAGGCAACCTAACAAGCACAGCTGGCCTGTAGTAGGCTACCTGATTGACTACAGCCCAATCAGTTGGAAGACAGCAGACTTGCTCTTAAGCCCAGAAGCAGCAGCATTTCAGTGGCAGCTCAAAGCATTCAGCCATAGCTGTGATAGCTCCTGTGCTTGCTTGTCCCCAGCCTTGCCCCATTCCTGACCCTCGGCTCTGACTTCAGCCTTGACCTCCAACTCCAGCTCTGACCCTGGGCTCCAATTCCTGACTGGCTCCTACTCTAACCAGTAGGCACATCTGACCACTTTCCAGTCATTGACACTATGAGATCACAAGCTGGCATTTGAATGCATCATTAGAAAGGCCTTGACCATGGAAACATGGATCAAGAAGGTGGACAGCATTATGGGTGGAAGTGATTTCCCCCTGATATTATTTTGTCTACAAACGTTTTCTCTTCTGCTTTTGTAAATGGACTGGGTTCAGTATTCTCACAAGTATGTTCTTAATGTTCAAGAACTTGTTCTTGGCACCGGAAATTGTAGAACTAACATTTTACATATTCTGAATGGACTGAGCTATGAATTGAAGCAATGAAATGCATTTTGAGATTCATATCCAAAAGACATCATTGTCAAGAATGTCAGTGCAGATTACTTGGGGCCAACACTCAGACACCTTTTCTTCAACAGCATCTGACTGAACAGCCTTCTATCATATCTGAAGATCTTTGAGGCATTTAATAGAAGATGCCCATCAAGTATGACAAGACTTACTCAGTGTGGATGAAATTGGGGGCTGTATTAAATGATGCTGGAAAATGGCTGCTGGTACTATTGGTTTTTGAAATAACTGACAATACTTCTCAACTTTTGATACATGTGATGAGAAAGCTGTCAGATCTTCAGCATCACTGATGAAAAGTTGCATTGTATGAGCAATACATCCAAACAGAGAAGGCGTAGATTCTCATTTATCAACAAAGCCCAAGCAGTTTTCATACTAGCTGCGTCATCAGTCACAAGCAAATTAACCTTCTGTGGACCGAATTCATGGTTTACATATTTAAACTGGACAGCAATGTATTGAGCTATGTGGCAATGTTCAGTTGTGCATTGTAAGAACACTTGTTGTGGAGCTGTTACCATGAAGTTGATGACACCCTCACTGCAAATATTGCTCCATCCATCAGACTCATGAAGAGCTTTTATTTTTCACATTGTCTGCTTTGGCACTCAGAAGACTTCCTGCAAGCCATTTCCTACTTGGCACTTTGTAAATTGAATACATATAAGATTTTGACTACAGACACTCCCCAGCTTATGCAATCGTTCCATTCCGGAAAGCCTTGCATAACCTGAATTTTACGTAAGTCGGAAATGTAAATTGTGCAAGCATAAAAAACAAACAATTACAACATTTTCTGCTCTAAATCAATCTTCTTTCACTTACAAACTGGTCCTGCAATCTTGCTATCACTTGGTCGCTTTCCAGGTGTGATTTGAATGAAATAATAGGGTGAAATAACAGAAATATTATTATTGCAGTATCACTGAAATAACACGAAACTGAGAGGCTGTGAGAGTGCAAAGCCTTCCCTTGTAGGAGATGCTACTGCTGTATTCCTCCACACACCGCACTACAGTACAGTACTTTGCGTTTCCATATGCTACGCAATATTTTCCGCAACTCAAAAATTGTATTTATGACTTATGGAACTTTTTGCGTAAGGTCGAATTTGCGTAAGTCAGGTCTTGCATAACCCGGGGAGCTTCTGTATATGAAATGGAGTATTGCTGGCATAAATACCTCTAGCAAACCTACAGTCAAGTTTGTTTTTCTGGTCATGGGATATTCTATCCAAAAACCTCTCAATACCAATTTGACGATCATCTGAAGACCTTCCAGGCATAGGCGTTAGAATAGCAAAATTCTTATTAGAAGATGAAGGAATGGAATTAGCTTCACTTTTGTTGTTACTCATATCACTATTTTCAACAAAAGAGTCCATGCTTTGTGATGATGCTGGCAAAGATGAAGTAGAAGGAGAATGGACAGAAGAATACAAAGTGGCAGAAAAGCTGGCGGTGCTCCTGTGCCTAGCCCCTCTGCCCTGATTGCAGTCCAGGCAGTGACACAACCCCTCACTGATCTGGATTGTATCCCAGAATGTGGCAGTTGGTACAGGATTTTCTTTCATTCCCCCAAAGTCAGAACACACTTTTTAAATGGTGCTCTATCATATTGAAATGTTTTACAATTAGTCAATTAAAAATAAATAAATTAGAGTGTCCCTTTAATTCCTTTTTTTTTTTTGACTAAACTCATGTCTGTGATAGGGAAGAGCCCTGTTTGGTAACTGTGCTTTATATGTTGAAAATAATGACAAAGTAGAACACAAAGACCTCTTGTCTCAGTTCTCTTGCTCTAATGGGGCCTATGGGAAGCTGGTTTTAGCATGCAGTCTGCCTGGGAATTTTGCATACTCTTTTACTTCCCATTCATACAGGCAACATGAAAAGTGGAGCTAGAGGCATTGCTCCTCTAAGCACATATCTGAGCCATCTTTGTCCTGAAGAGATAGCATAAATGGCAATTCCCTACCAGCAAATGTTTTGTGATCTTGGAATTAAAGCACATATGAAGTATAAATTAAGACTTTTGTATATAAAGAAAGGCCACAAAAACCCAAGGAGCACAATGAAATGAAAGAACTATCTCACAGCCCATCATCAGTGTATCTGAGAATCCCAAGTATTTATTGATTTAAGTCTAGTGATGTAGTTTTATTATCTGCATTTTATGAATAGGAACCTAAGGCCCAAAGAGTAAGTGACTTGCCCCCATTACACATGAAGACTGTGTCAGATCTAAGAACTGAAGGCAGACTCAAGTCCCAGTCCTTTGCATTAACTAATAGATCATTGTTCACCTCTGCATTATTAATATGCTCTCTCCAAACTTCTTTTTGTATCAGGATGTTTAGTTACTCTGAACAATATGGACACATAACATGAACTTATGTCAAAGATTACTCACAGTTCTATTCTGATTGTCAGGAGCCAGTCTTAAAATTCAGCCAATCATAGCTAAGTTGTGCACAGCTGTTCCATCTGTGATGTTTCTCACAGAAACTCGCATTACCATCCCATCACCACCCTACAAAAAGCAGTGCCAGGCATGGGTTCAGGGTGATACAAATCCCTTCTCCCAGCCACTGACAGGGAGCAAATAGGAATGGGAGGCAGTAACCAATCCACCATGCTCCCTATAAACATGTGATAGGAAGCCCCCTTCATACAAGAGCTCTATTGCCAGGTAGAGGAAGCAGCTGGAGAGGGGATTCAGGAGCAAGTGGGCTTGGCTACCTGTGTTGTTTGGGTTTACATCGTTCATCTCACTTAGTGTTCTGCTGCCACCTGTTCTCCCTGGTTGTTATTCTGCAGCGGCTATGAGAGCTGAGTGAGCATTGCAGAAGACCTCAGAGTCTGAAAGGATCAATGGCAGGGCAATCCCTGCTGCCTGCCTCTGTGAAATTCTAACAGTGCTGCTGTCCCATCAGGCAGGGTGGTGGTCTACAGGCATAAATGTCACTCAGTGGGGGTGATCTTTGGCAGTTCTGTGCAATGATTAATACTGTACAGATAACCATCTCTGGATTACTTTTTTCTCATCTAAAAAATGTGAACAAAGAGTTCCAGTATCCATGATGCGCTCTCCATGCAGGAGGAGACATATTCTTGCCACAATTTTATTTGACAAGTATCTCAAACATCTGTTCAATACAAGACAAAAATAAAATTACACTGTTTGTTTCTTACTGTGAGAATGTCTTCCAAGAACACCATTAAGTCGACCAAAAGCTATACCAAATGTATGATATATGTCACTGGATCTGACAATATCTTGAGACACCAAACCTGGCAACAGATTGAACTTATTAATGAGTTTTTACTCACAATGAGACATGCATTTGAGCTCAGGCATCTTTGGAAATGAAATATTTCTTCCTTTCTGCACCATTCAAATGTATCTTAGTCTGCTGCAAGCTGATATCATTGCACAATGTTATTGTTAAATGCCAACAAATCAGTAATTTTTCTCTTCCTATTTTTTCCTTGCCTATCTGCTATTAGAGAACTTTTTGTTTGTACAGGAGACATTGGGCATTACAATGATTTGTACCAGGGCCGGCTCTGGCTTTTTACCGCCCTAGGCAAAAAAAGCCACCCACCGCCCGCCCCCCCCCCCTCCCTCCCCCGCCCCCCCGCGCGGCAGGGGAGGGCGCTGAGCCCGGCCGCGGGCCACAATCCCCGACCGGCCGGGGCTCTCCGCTCTCCCCAGCGGCCAGAGCGCCGGGGGGAGGGCGAAGAGCCCCCGGCGGCCAGAGCGCCGGGAGGAGGGCGGAGAGCCCGGCCGGGGCTCTCCACTCTCCCTGGCGGCCAGAGCACCGGGGGGAGGGCGGAGAGACCCCCGATTGGGGCCCCGCTCTCCCCGATTGGGGCCCCGCTCTCCCCGACCGGCCGGAGCACCGCGGGGAGGGCGGCGAGCCCAGTCGCGGCCCAGCTCTCGGGCCAGAGTGCCCCGCCGCACCTCCCCCCTCCAGGCACCGCCCCAAGCACATGCTTGGTGGGCTGGTGCCTGGAGCCGGCCCTGATTTGTGCACTAGTCGTTAAATTTTCCAAAGATACATAAAGTTACAAAACTGAAACTTCATAGAAACTATTATTTAATATATATGCAGAGTTATGTATCTGTACAAGAAGTTAGAGATGCCTTGGAAAAACATTACCTCTGCTCTTAATTCACACATCTTTCTGTCCATATTGGTTCGGGCACAAGTTTCATCCTCTATATTTTCAAAATTCCTTTCCACTTCATTTTGGTGTAGGTCAGGTAGTATGTTCGGCTAAAAGACAGAAGTTATTTAGCATCAGTAAAGAACTAGGAAATGTGCTCCCATTAAACAATCCTGAACAAAATCTCAACAGCCAAAATTAAATACAGTAACTCCTCACTTAATGTTGTAGTTATGTTCCTGAAAAATGCGACTTTAAGTGAAACGATGTTAAGCAAATCCAATTTCCCATAAGAATTAATGTAAATAGGGGGGGTTAGGTTCCAGGGATTTTTTTTTTGCTTTTTTGTTAAAAAAAAGGAATTAAAAAATTTTTAAAAAATTTTAAACAAGGAATTTAATACTACGCTGTGGGAGGGGAGTAGTGTGCATGTGCTGTATGTTTACAAACATACTATACATACAGTACAGTACTATAGTTAGGAGGTGCCCCGGCCTTACCCCACACAGGCACAGCCCACTGGCACTGGAGATGAGGCAGGCAAGGAGGCTGAAGGTGCTGTAGGCTAGGAGAAGCACGTTGCACAGCAGCGGCAGCTTCCCCTGCTCTGCAAGCACCAGGGTCGGGGAGGGGGGTCAACCCTCAGCCTGCCCACTCTCCCCGTTACCCCAAGCCCCCATCCTTGTCCTGCCTCTTCTCCCCCCCCACCTCCTCCCCCTTTACTTCCCATGCTGCATCTTCGCTCCTTCCCTTCCCTTCCCTCCCTTCTAAACGCCAGAAGCCAGCTGATTGCCGCTGGCAGGAGGCAGGGGAGGGAGGGGGAGCCTGCACACTGAGTCCTTGCTCCTCCCCCCTCCCTGGGACAATCAGCTGGCTTATGGTGTTTAGGGGGCAGGAGGGAGGGGGGAGGAGCGAGGACTCGGCACGCAGGCTCCCCTCCCTCCCCCCCCTCCTGCCCAGGACAATCAGCTGGCTTGCAGCGTTGGGGAGGCAGGGAGGGAGGGGGAGCCTGCGTACTGAGTCCTTGCTCCTCCGGCCTCCGTCCTGCCTCCGAAACGCCGCAAGTCAGCTGATTGCCACAGATGGGGGGGAAGGAGGGGGAGGGCACTGATCCGCGGGGTCTGCTGGTGGGTGGGAGGCACTGCGGGGGGGTCGTAGGGAGGCTGCCAGCTGTGGAGAAAGCAGGCAGCCAAAAACAACATAAGAGTAGAGCATTGCAGAACTTTAAATGAGCATGTTCTCTAATTGATCAGCAACGTAACAAGGAAACAATGTTAACCAGGAGGACTTAAAGTGACGAGTTACTGTACAAACAAATATGAAATGCTTTCATGGTACCAATGATAGTTCACATATTTATAGCTCTGGTTCTACAGATGCTGCAAGTGTATGAATTTCCACTGAAGTCAATCAGGTGCCAGGAAAAGGCAGTAGTTCACCTACTACGCATTGCATGATCAGAACACAAGTGTACATTCAGTGGACAATCCTTTTGTAAATCAATTCAGATGAGGATCTCCTTCAAATGCCTGTCCATATTCACAGATTCCTACTCATGCCTATTATATGAACAAAAATTAAAGGATCAATATTAACTTGATTTTTTTAACTGATTTTTAAAACCATGATTTCTGGTAGAGTACCCTTTAAGTTGTATGATTTTATTTATTTTGAAAAGTTTTTTCTGCTCCCTGTTTCTAATAAAATAAAATAAAATAAGGAAAGGAAAGGAAAGGAAAGGAAGGAAAGAAAGGAAAGGAAAAAGTAGATCTCTCCCCTCCGACACCTTTTCTAGAAGGAAAAACTAGACCACTCAAAAGAACA